GGGGGGTTGGTAAAAGACAAACAATACATAAAAGTGGATTATAAAACTGCAATGGAAGGTAGTGAGGAAATACGGAAACAACTCAAAAGGCGTCACATTTTAATGCTACTCATCCTAAACCCACTACTGACCTCGTTTATAATTGTCAGTTTTTCCACAAGTTCCATGATGTCTTTGGTGGTGTACTCTCGTGGTGTGACCTTGACCCCGGAAGCTCGCGCTGCGTCATGTCTCATCTGGTCCACGAGGACACTCCTCTCTCCACTGCCCTGCTGAGGTTCCTTCAACTTTTTCCTGTTTCCCGACCGAAGGATTTCCCCTCTCTTTTTAAAGAGGAGACTGCGTCCATTTTCTGGAACGTATTCGTCATGCAGAAGAAGAAAAAGCAGAGAGTTCCTGGGTTCTGTTTTATTCTTTTGGTAATGAAGGAAAGATGTTAAAATTTTGCTTCTTTATGTTCTTTTTTGCATCGATTTTTGGGCTATTTGCTTTGTTGAATGATATGGTTTAATGTCTTTTTATTCAGCAGTGACATTTTGCCCTTCTATGTTATTTGCTCCTTCGGGATGCCCTATCGAGTTTTGTTTGCGCTACTCCTTCGGCTTCTACCTTATTATCCTTTGATGTCAAGCACAGTTTCTTTATTTTCCAGCATGAGGCCTCTTGTATGGCCAGCTTCTCTGACTTTTTTTAGAGTTTGTATTACAGAATTTCCGTTGAAAAATGAAGCCGCTATCGTGCAACCTGTCTTTCAGCAAGAAGAAGAAGAAGAAAAGAACAAGAACGAGAGCATGAACAAGACTAGAATAATAAGAAAAACGAACAAGAAGAAGATGAGGAAGAATTCAGAAAAATGTCAACAATAGCGACAAAAACAACAACAACGAAACAAACAAAAACAATAACACACGGTCGCCTCCATGTCTTACAGTACTCTTCAACCTTCCCCGACTCTTTGCCCATCCATGCAACAGGCTCACTTGTTTGTTTACCAGCATTCTCAAATTTGTACGTTCCGATTTTCTAACTTTTCTCCATACTTTTCATAATCTGTTGAAATTTTCTTTATTATATTTCTTACCTGTATCCCCTTGATACCTTCCATTTTTTTCATTTCTTTCGCCTCTTCAATACTATAAAAGGTTCGGAAAAATAGAGTTTATGGATCACTTAACGTCCTTAATATCTGTATGTAGTACGAAGGGCATCGATGCTGGACAACTACCAACAAGGTTTGGTCGAATCTTGAAAATCTGAGACTGTTTAGCAATTTTGCTCAGAATTAGAGTTAGAGCGACAACTTAAAAATATACGCATCTGAATTTGAACTGTTTCTAATTCTGGATCGTGCATTGAATAGGCTTTAGGAATAATTTTGTTTTATGATATTATACTTTAAAGCCTCATTCCCTGTTGAAGACATACTCTTTGTTTTGGTAAGAGTTTTACAACACTCACAATTTTATAAGGTCATGAGCGCTCGAGATTCTAGTTGGTTGTTTTCACGCTTGTCCTCAGCACGTTTTTATGTTGTCAAGTCGGAATGGTTCAAGTTAAAAAGTTACGGTAACAAGTCAGTAACAAAAACAGCCATTTAAATGTTTAACTTATAATCTACGTTTCAGTGTTAAGATCAATGGTCTTTTTAAAATCGAAATTTCTGTTGGGATCAACGATGAAGAAACAATTTTTCGAATTTGTGAATCAAGAATATTTCCTTCGGGCCTCTTCAAAGTCTAGACATTCTATAAGGATGAGCCTGGTTGTTAGGTCGGCATCACATCATATAGAAAATGTGTTTTTCTTTTCGATCTTCCTGCATGAGGAAGTCACTTTACAAAATAACGTATTGGACATACCTCCGTTATACTTACATAACGGAAGTATGTCCAATACGTTATTTTGTAAAGTGACTTCGCCTCTTCTGGAAGGACTCGAAGGTTTTTAGGGATCGAACCAGGGCATTATATTGTGAAGTTTGCAGTAAATTATACACATTGTCAACCACATTGTTTTACTAAAACATTATATGGCCATCATAAAGATAGTACGGTAAAGTTCACTGCCGATAGTTTTCAGTTCTGTCAGAAATATTTAGAAAAGGAGAATAGATGATACATTTCTATCGGTCTCTCGTAAAGTTTCATTTCTAACGCTGAAGTAGCATTACTTTTGAGAGATAGTCAGCAAATAAAAAGCTTCACATGAACAGTTCGTGCCTCCGCTCTGAGCTCGAACACCGAAAAAAAAAGAATGGAGAACTCTGCTTTGACTCAGAGTTTGAGAAAGCTATATGTGTGTCTGACATTCTGAATGTCACCCATATCTAGAAATTTGTCACGAGAGTATTTTCAAGTGGTGCATTTTTGCTACAATTGTCCACTGGGGCAAGTTTACCTTTCCCACTCATAGATTTGGCGACCTATGATCTTCGAGGCTCGTAACCATGGCATTCCAGGGAAACGTTTTCAGTATGTGAGGCGATTCTTGATCGAAAAAGAAATTCTTCTGAAATAGGTTTGTAATTATAGACTGAGCTACATGCCAATGTGTATATACGGTTCAATAGAATTTTTAAAAATGTTCCATGTAACCTGTTTTATTCCCGTTAGAGGCCGATCTCTTCTTCCGACCCCTCTGGAGATTGTCAATATCGACCCCTCCACTGTTGATGGGGATTGCTCCGCCCTCTACCGTCAGTCCGTTAGACGTGTCTACAATAGGCAACGCCAGGCGATCTGCAGAACACAGAGGAGACACAATATTAGAGTGCTTAAAAAATCATCACGGATTTTTGTAATGCACGTTGTAAAAGAAAAATCTCTCAGTGCACCTAGCCGACCATTGGGTTAGGGTTTGGCTTCTTCTGTTTTGAACCTGTGTTTCAAGGGTTACAGAATGATTGTTCTAAAAATTAAATAACTATAATATACATTTCAGTACAAGGCTGCATTTTTGCCCGTGGCCTGGGCGATAGGACAAGCAAATACGTTATTCCAACCGTCCTGTCCATTTCCTGTAATCGGTTAGAATAAGAGAATGCCAACTATAACATTAAGCATCAGTCAGCTGCAACTTTGAATGCCTAATCCTCATGCATTTGCCCCCATTTCATAATTAGGAGTGCACGGTAAGCATGGCATATTCAAAAGACCAGTGCAGACAGGGGACTTTTTCAAGTTTCAGAATCCCGAAGCTAGGATGGAAAAGGTGAGCGTATCCGTGCATGATCAAGTTGTTATGCCCAACAGTAGAAACTGTAGCAATAACCTCTACATTAGCATTATTACCAAAACCATCGACAGCAACAACAAAGCCACTACACCCTCGCCCCCCTCCGACTTCAATTATAACAGCCAGAGCAAGTACCACCACTATTACCACCATCACCACAACCCCATCCACCCCAATAACAACACGAAAAAGACGTGGCAAAGACCATAACTCACAGTCTGTTGGCTGACACTTGAAGCTCTCCTTGTACTCCCTCTCTGTAGCCTGCTCAATGTCTTCTCCTAAGAAGGGTGGATTAACATACCAGGGCCAGTGTGTGCCAGCCTTGCACACACAGACATAACCACCGCGCTGGAAGCCAAAACCATTTCTGTGTTTGCACTTGAAGGAAAAAAGAACATTTGTTATTATTAGAAGACAACAGTTAAATGCAACATTTTGCTCTGCTTTCCTTTTCAAGTGCCGCGTTTCCTCTTAGCCAAATCACTGAAAATCAAGCGATTTAACCTTGTTCGCACACGAGAAACCAAAATATACCTATACATATTTGAGCAAATTTCCGTATGAAAAGTAAATTTTTTAAAAATTGAGTAAAATGTTGTTATGAAACCTCGCATCCCACGGCATAACAATTTAAACCATAGAAAAGTGATTTTTTGCACTAACCACGTTTCTAAGGTGTTTTTATTTATCTGTACCAGCTTTGGTTCATATAGATCTAGATCACTTTTTTCACGAGTAAATCAGTTTTTTGTTTCTCCTGTAAAATATTTCTTACTGGGGTTACGAGGTTTCATCACTCCACCAGCGATTTGTGATTATGAGAAGACAACAGTTAAATGCAACATTTGCTCTGCTTTCCTTTTCAAGTGCCTCGTTTCCTCTTAGCCAAATCACTGAAAATCAAGCGATTTAACCTTGTTCACAAACCAGAAACCAAAATATACCTTTACATATTTGAGCAACTTTCCGAATGAAATGTAAATTCTTTGAAATTGAGTAAATTGTATTACAAAGGCGTTGAGCCGTAACGCAACTATTGTTACTTAGATACGTTCTCAATGTACTCCAGTTGTTATTACATACTTACCGAAGTGGTCCGCTGGCAGCGATGTATCCCAGATAGGTGGCTGGGTCCTGGATTTCCCTTGCCGACATCACAAGCATTGAAGTCGACCTCTCTGAAGTCTATATCTTTAACGATGACACCAACCACTCTGAGAAAGCAAAGGGATGTTTTTCGAAATTTGACTCTTAAAGGTACCCAATTGTCCATAAGTTGAACTTATTATTATTATTATTATTATTATTATTATTATTGT